ATACGATGTACAAAATGACTCATAAACCGGTGGACGTTTCAACTACTATCTGACACCTGAGCTCAGAAAAGGACAAGAAAGAGTTTTGCCTTTAAATATCGGAGTTATCAACAAGGCATTGGGGTAGCAACTTTGGTATTGACTTAGTTTTAGCTTTATGTCCTGACTATACATGATGTACAAAATGACTCATAAACTGGTGGAAGTACCGACTGCCAAGTCTCTAGTACCTGAGGGCCGAAATCAATCTTCACCAAAAACACCACTTCCTATACTTTTCAGCCATACTAGTATATCATTTCAAAGCAGATTAGGAGAAATCTGAACTCAAACTTGACTGCTCAAAACCCTTTCGTCTCTTTTTTTTTTACCGCGGACTATCGGTCGCGGAAGAACTGGGGTGTGTACCGTTAACATTTCCACAACTTATGTAGTGTATGGAGAGCGCATGGATTGTGTCAAAGATTGAATTCAATTTAACACATATTTTCCCCAGGCTATGTAGTGTACGGAGAGCCTATCGCTGCCAGTCTGGGGACTGACGGTACTCAGTACTGGAACACAAAATGGCGCGAGGCGGCAGCCCATGTGACGTCACCACCTCTCCGTCCGGACCCGACCACTCCTGGGTACCTCATGGACCTACTGGCCAAGTGAGAACATTTTATTTTACCAAAGAAAAACATATATTTTTTGCTACGTTTCCTCTTCTTCTTCTCCAAACAGTGACCTTGACCTGACTGAACCAGACTACCTCTCACCATGGTAACTGGTGTAATGTTGCAATTTTATAGCAGGAGGGATTTAGACTCCTGTCACATATATATGAACGTGTTTGAGTAAGAATTAACAGAGCAGACCATATGCTAAGGTAAACATTATGCATTAGCTTTGCAAATGTCACCTTCCTAGTAACAAGGGTCTCATATTACAGTTCTACAACTGATTTTTGTCTCCTGTCCCACAGTGGAGATCTCCAGGTGACCGGGTCCGCCCACTGTTCCTGGACCACCGGACAGCGAGCAGCCGGGCAATCCGACTTCACCAAGATCCCGCACGGCGTCAACGGCATCGAGGAGCGCATGTCTATCGTCTGGGAGAACGGAGTGGTGAGGATGCAGGATTTCTTGATTCTTAGCTTCAGCACAGTCTCTTGGCTACCAATGGTCGTTTTTACCAGGTTAGGCAGCAGGAAGAAGGTTACCTGATCATATGTTAGCTAAGAATTCATGGGCAGAACAACAGGATTCGGACAGGAATCTTTCAGGCTGAGAGCTTGGTAAGACAAGCGCTGAGGGGGTATACCTACCAGCCTGTGGGGAGACCATTTAAACTGCCAACTTGAGCTCAATCTGCGTTAAACTTTACGAAATCGGCTATGTAAGTGGAACAAATAGACAGAACTAGCATGGAAAGCACTTTGATACTCCTGTTTTTCTTCTCCACCCAGGCCACTGGAAAAATGGACGAAAACACCTTTGTGGCGGTGACCAGTACCAATGCAGCAAAGATATTCAACCTCTACCCAAGAAAGGTACGTAGTATCTACAGCATATAGCTTGTACAAAGTAAAGAACGAGTAGTTGAAATGAATGAGAGTATCTCAATGGTCAGTGACGTGAGCCAAACGTCTGTCACCATGGGTGTAGCAGACACCCTGTCGTGGTATTAGGTTTCATCACGTAGCAAGGTGCAGAAAAGAGTTGGAGAGGCTGGTCACCATATACATGAATGTGTTTGAGTAAGAATAAACAGAGCAGTAGTTTGTCAGGCTAAACCATGTGAAGGTAAACATCATACATTTTATACATTTGTTTTGCAAATGTTATGTTTGTTGTTCCAGGGTAAGATTGCGGTAGATTCTGATGCCGATATTGTCATCTGGGACGCGGAGGCGGTCAGGACCATCTCAGCAAGCAGCCATCATCAGGTAGGCGTTACTGCACCATACAAAAACTCTTGTTGTACCTCACATGACTACAATTATGCTTATTGGTTTTAGATATAGACAACCATGGATAGACAAGTGCTATAGAAGGCAGGCCTTCCTACGGTGTGTATAATCATAAGTATTTATATTCGGATTCATGTGCCGAAAACAAACATGAAATACAAAATCAAAGCCAAAAGCCTCCAAAAAAAAGCCCCCAGTTACTGCTAAGATTAGTAAAAACGTCATGCCAAGGTCTTATTATGTTGAGTACACTAAAGACATGTTTTGCCGCATTTGTGATATGATGTAACTTCTAAGCTTGGTCTAGTCTGTTTCATGTGTAAATGGAGTCTTTCTTCCTGCCAGGCGTCAGATGTGAACATTTTTGAAGGAATGGAGGTTCATGGCGTTCCAGTGGCTACTCTGTCTAAGGGCAGAGTCATCTTTAAGGACGATCAGGTACAGGCGTTTCCTTCATTTAAGGATAAATGTTGGGATAGAAAAAATGGATAAGCATATGCTATAGAAGACAGGCCTTGGTACGGCTTGAATAATTATACATATTTATACTTTTTCTGTGCCGAAAACAAACATGAAATACAAAAACACATTTTAAAAGCCTCCCAAAAAGCCCCAAGTTATTGCTAAGAACGTTATGCCAAGGATATTATCATGTCATGTTGAGTACACTAAAGACATGTTTTGCCGCATTTGTGATAAAGAAGGTCGAACGTACTGCGGTCGAACGTCGGCAGAACGTACTGCGCCTCCGCGAAACCCGAAATTTATTATGCATAGCACTTCTGCAGAACGTCTTGTTTAAGGTCGTACTCGCGTATTTAAGCATGACATCCCGTCTGTAGTTTTCAAATGTTGTACCTGAAAAGATGTCGTCTGCACTGGATAAAATTCTGATGCATCGTTGACCAAACATCCTGCAAAAACCGTGACAAATCCGAGTATCACAAAGGCGCAGTTCCGCTGGCTTGCTGGGTAAAGTCATTTTGATGTTCATCGTTTATTACATGAACATCAAAGGGGAACCGCACTTTGAAGTCGAAATTATAAATAATATAAGATAAGGAAGGAAAACTGATATTCTTTTCTGTTCTGTAGAATTAGCAATACACTCGCCATGCATGTCATGCATATCGCAATAATGGCCTATTGTATGGCAATCACTATAAGTTAATCAACGCATCGCCTGCCCTTTGGCTCGGCCATAGCAATAATGGCCTGCTGCTTCCAAAGTGAAGATATGAAGGGCAATAGAGCAGAGCCCTTAATGCCTGTCTTATGATTTTCAGATCGTTGCCAATTCTGAAGGTCACGGAGTGTTTGTGGACAGAAAGGCGCATTGTGATCACATCTACGGCAGACTGGAGGCTAGAGCAAAGGTGAAATACTTCTGCAGGAGTTAGTCTGTCCACTTCAGTGCATTTGCTAGATTATATTGGTCTTCTGATATTTTATGGATTGATATCAACTTGTGTGTGCTTGTGTGTGTGATTCTACGACTGTTTGTCTGTGTGTATGTTTTGTGTGTGTGTACGCGCGCGCGCGTGTGTGTGTGTGTGTGTGTGTGTGTGTGTGTGTGTGTGTGTGTATGTACTTTTACGTGTTTGTGCGTTTTGGGCTCTTGTCTAGTTAGATAGCTCAGAAACATTACAAACTGTTCAACGATATCCCTAAATGGCTCGTTGGCCTTGAGCAGAAAACACTACCAGGATACGTGGCCATCTAAAGAGGAGTCTTAATCTACTTTCAAAGAAAACAATTCGTTCCAGCACGACAATAATCCTGTATTCCCGCTGTGAATTTTCTTATCTTGTTCATTCAAAGCAAAACTTGCAAATCCGTGACCAATTGGATCACATCATACATGTAGGTCTTAAAACTTGTGAAGATAAGAAGATCCTCCTCACCAATGCGTTCTGCCTCAGTCAGGAAAGCAAGAATGCGGTATCCGCACATTCAAGAACATAAGGAAATAACTGGAAAACATTCCGGTCTCTAGAACTCACTCCACACACACTGCAGTACACATCTGGAACAGTCTCCCAGACAACGTGGTCAGCCTGATCACCGGTAACAACCTCCAGTTATTCAAAATAAGAGTACACCGGCATCTTCTTTCCACCACCAGGACTTCTGTATGTAGCTAGAACTTTGCGTTGCTGTAAACCAATGATTAGCCAGGAGTGTTACAAGCCCGGCTGTTGTTTACAGTAGCACATGATAGAAATAAACCATGGCCCAACATGTAATCACAAGACGTTCTTATCTTGCAGTACCTGCTGCCGCGAGCGGTGATCCGGATGGAGCATGACGGGCCGGTAGCGCAGGTGGCCCCGGCCGTGGCGGCCGGCTACCAGCCCCGGACATCCCGGCCTCGTAACCTGCACGAGTCCCAGTTTACACTCTCCGGTAAGGGTAAAAGTTGCTGAGGTAGCCAGTCGGTTACCAGTTCTCTATTGGTTACGGGGTTAAGAATTAGGGGGAAGGTTTAACTACCAGCACACAGTGTAGCTGTCTTGCTACCGATTCTCTGTTGGTTACAGGGTTAGCTAGCAGGCAGAAGGTTAACCTTTAACAGACTGAAGTAGCTAGTTCAGGCTACCAATTCACTATTGGTTAAAGATTTACGAATCGGGGAGAAGGTTAACTTTTAGCACACTGAAGTAGCTGACTTGCTACCGATTCTCTATTGTTTATGGGGTTAGGTAGCAGGGAGAAGATCAATCTTTAACAGACGAAAGTAGCTGTCTGGCTACCGATTCACTATGGGTTACAGGGTTAAGAGGAATGAGACTTTTGGTTGCCCAATGGTTGCCCAACACCCTCAGTAGAAAGAGGATGTAACGAAATCCCCCCTTTCGTTGTAAAACATTACTACCCCGTTTCACCACCACCTAAGAACACTATTACACTCATTCTAATCATCTTCCGTACGTGTTATTGGATGTCATGCTGATAGCCTGTTATGGGGGCGATAACGTGCTCGCATGTGGGGAACAGACAACTCTTAACGTTAATTGACTTCTTTCTAATCGCATCTTAATCTACTTAGTAGATTTGCTAATCCATTGAACGTGTGTGTTTTAGAAAATATTGCGATCAGTTATGTTTGGCTTGAAGAATTTGATCAAAATCAAGCAAGGATCATATGGATTATTAAAGAATAAATGTTTCAATACAGCGTGTGCATGTGCATGGTTTAACGTTTGTTACATGTACGTGTTTTGTTTTGTCTTGCTTTGCTTTGTTCTGGGTCCTAGGGAAGTACATGTAAGAATCTCCAACCTACGCACTGGTATGTCAAGGCATCATAGCCTCCTCACATTGCATTGCGCGCTTTTGAATCTCTGTGAGATAACTGGAAAATCTCAGCAGGATTTTCACTTCCAAGCGTGATATAGACGTCATGATGACGTCACATCCGGCCCTGTCAAACAGGAGCTTTTGTTCTCTTTGTTTTTTACAGTTTTTGTTGCCCCTTGCGTATGGCAACAAAATGCCACCCACATCTGGGATACGATTTTACCGTTGTCCCATAACCTCCATGTTGACAAAGTTTCAAGTTACATCAATATGTGACTCTTCAAAAAGAAATGTCTGGGTGCTCTTGCCCGTATTGACGTGCCTTTGCTTTGCTTTGCTTTGCTTTTCTTTTGTTTTGCTTTGCCTTTGGTCACCCACATCTAGGATTATATTTCACAGTTGTTCCATAACCTCCATTTTCACAAACGTTCAAGTTACATCAATTTGACTCTTCAAAAAGAAATGTCTGGGTGCTCTTGCCCGTATTGACGTGTGTTTTGCTATGCTTTTGTTTTGCACTGCTTGGCTTTGCCGTTGGTCACCCACATCTAGGATTATATTTCACAGTTGTTCCATAACCTCCATTTTCACAAACGTTCAAGTTACATCAATTTGACTCTTCAAAAAGAAATGTCAGGATGCCCTCGTCTCGTGGACATGCTGTCTTGTTTTTTGTTCTTGTTATCCGCTTGGCTTGGCTGTTTTGCTTTGCCTTTGGTCATCCACATCTAGGATAGTATTTCGCCGTTGTTACAAAACCTCTAGTTTGACAAACGTGCAAGTTACATCAACGTGAATCTTGAATAAGAAATGTCAGTGTGCCCTTGCCTTGTGTACATGTTGTAGTGTTTTTTGTTCGCTTTGCTTGGCTGTTTTGCTTTGCCTTTGGTCACCCACATCTAGGATAGTATTTCGCCGTTGTTAGTAAGTAGCCTTCAATTTGACAAACGTGCAAGTTACATCAATGTGAATCTTGGAAAAGAAATGTCAGGGTGCTCTTGCCGCGTATTGACACGAATTTGTTGTTGTCTGGTTTGATTCCTTGGCTATTTTGCTTTCCTTTTGGTTAACCACAACTATGATAATATTTTCCTGTTTGTACATAACCTCCAATTTGACAAACGTGCAAGTTACATCAACGTGAAATGTCAGGGTGCCCTTGCCTCGTATTATCGTGGATTTGTTGTTGTCTGGTTTCCTTCCTTTGCTGTTTTCCTTTGCGTTTGGTCTCCCCCATCTATGATAAAACATCCCTGTTTGTACATCCTCCAATTTGGCGAACGTTCAAGTTCGATAAAGGAGAATCTACAAAAGAAATGCCAGGGTGCCCTTGCCGTCCATGGGTTGTTATTGGGCAAATTGAACTGGGGAGAAAGCATGCTGGTGATTTTGACTTCCTGTTCAAATAATAAAGTCTTCTAGCTAATTTAACTTAAAAAAAACTGCAGATTCAACAGCTCAACTTTTATATATTCCAACATGTAATCACAAGACATGGTAACGGCACACTCAAGTTTTTTAACTTATATTTATGCCGCCACCAACACAGGGGACAGTACAATACTCATTTTCACCCGAGTTAAGTGACGAAAGTCGTGTAAAGTGCCTTTCCCAAGGGCACAAGATCGGTGGCATGTCAGGACTCAAACCCGGGACCTCTTGTTTCCGACTCGAGCACTCTGCCATTACGCTACACGACCGACACGCCCAGCTTGCCAACCATCTACCGTTGTTTCAGCACCAAGGACAGGGCCTCATCAGTATTTCTTTGTCCCGTTGTTTCCCCGGTACTACGAACCTGTAAATACTGTACATAATGTCTGTCTTCTCTGTTACGACTAGCAGAAGATTAGCTCTTCGGTAGGCTAAAACTAGATCGAGATCTTTACTTCTGTCAACCATTGTTTCAGCACCAAGGACAGGACAAGCACCAGTGTTTCTTTGCTCCACTGTTAGAACTGTATTTTAGCATAGTTCATGTATCTACCCTTGTTGTTTCTATTCTACCCTTTGTAATTTATCTATTGTAATGTAAATAGTTTTAAGGTTTCAGATATGGATCACACAGGCAGTTGCCTTTTTATCCATTAAAAATGTATGTATGTATGTATGTATGTTTCTTCTTTGCCATACATTGTACCAGTTACAACAGTTGGAGAAATAAAGTTGATTTGATGTATTTGACTGTTCTGTAGGAGACACGAAGCAGGGGGATGAGGACGAGATAGGAACTCCCATCAGCAGACGTAACCGCAAACCAGCCACACGAGTCAACGCACCGCCAGGGGGCCGGTCTTCTCTCAACATTTTCGAGTAAACCCTCATCTTGCACGGAGAGCTTTAGCCTGGTATCCAGTCTTACGTACGTGGTAGGGGCGGGTTTTTCCCGGGGCGGCATGAGCTCTTTCCCGCCCGCCTCAGCTAGGTTTCCCGGTGTGTATTTCACGATGGGAGATTGATTAGCACTACCACGAACCATGTTTGGGGCAAATCAAATCCCCAAGCATGCCATCTCTATAAGCGTAACACTCTTACCGGAGCGGCTGTTGCACTGGGAAGCTATTAGAGCCTCCAAAGACACAGCCTGCCTGAACACCCCAACTACTATGCCCTAATCACGTACGACTGGATACCAGGCTAGGAGAGCTTAGACTCCACCAGGCCTTCCTAGAGGGGTTTAGGATGGTAGAATTCGGTAAAAATAGGGTCTGAATGGCCAGGGAAGTGGACCCACCCTTAGGGTTTCATCTTCTTTCCACCACCAAGACTTCTGCATGTAGCTAGAACTTTGCAACTTTGCTGTAAACCAACGATTAGCCAGGAGTGTTACGTACAACCCAGGCTATTGTTTACATTAGCACATGATAGAAAAAATTCCCTCTCAAAAAATCTGCGTGGGCAAATGAATTCTGGCCAGTCATTCTACCTATTTGGCTAAATTTCACTGTTGTTTGTACCCGCGTTATAAGTCTGGTGGAGATTATGCTAGCTAGTATCAACACGAAACATAAGCGACTATGACTAAAAAGTACCGTGTTGTGCTCTCAGAACGTCCGTACGATGTGTGAGTCCATTTACAATTAAGGGAAAGGAGTAGTTTGTACCGCATAAAACAAACATAATATATACGTATGGTTCAATTGTGTAAAGAATATGAATATTGTTAGTGGTTTTTGTGAATGTCAATTTAACAAGAACATCGATGTTGTTTTTACCTCCTAGATTCTATTCTTACCCTCGTTGTACGATGTCAAACAGTCATGACACTGTTAGCAGAGGTTCATTGCCAAAGCAAGCATGTATTATTTACAAGATACGAGGTAATGAAGTTTGAACGCTGTTCCTATTATGCGGTTATTGTGAAGCCGAGATACCGAATTCTAAGCGTGTACGTTCCAGCTAAGGCGAAAGACGCCAACAACCCACTTACTCCGTCGCAGAAATGATTATACAACCCACATGTTATCGTAGGAGACTTGTAACGTAGAATTGAATGAATGTTGTCTTTGTGACTCTGTCGTTAGAGGCTTAATTGGATTAAGTGGGGCAAGCCGCCGGTCCCTGGAGTAGAGGACAGATAAGCGACGTCCGTTAGCGTTCCTTGGTAACTCAATAACCATTTCTTCCGAGGGTTACTAAGTGCCCTGTAATAAAATAATGGAAAAATAACACACGGCTCCAGATGTAGACTTGTGTAGTCACTTCGGATTAGAAAAGTTCAGTTGCCGTACGAAGCGTCACATGTGGCGTTTGACTAGCTAATGTTTTTCTATTGAGAATTTCACTTGTGTTCTGGAAACATCCCTAACTACATTACGTACAGTTTCACCTTACCAACAAAAGAATTCACCATAATAACAAGTGACATGTTACAGACAGATACCTGTCAAAAATATTTTCGAGTTGAAACACACACACAAGAATAGTTGAATGTTAAAACATTTCATTTTTCCCAGGTACAGCGTTTTTCGCTACTATAATGTCTTGTTCTTTCATTCAAGACGGCGTATTACTGAAAACCTGTCGCTTTCAACTGATTTCCTTACTCTCTTTCTTGAAAATATCATGCTGCCCCCTTGATTATATTTTTTATTCATATAAAGGAGATGCGGAGACAGTATTCAAGGGTCAATACTTTGCTTTGGCTCAGTCACAAGTGATTTTACGTTTTTAGAACATTTAGTACCTCTTCCAGCAGTGCGCCTACTCCTCCCTACATCTGCTTGGAGAACATACAGAGGGATCCAAGATGGCGGCACCAACTGAATTGTCAAGCGATCCGGCGAGAGAAAACTCGTCAGTTCTCTGTGTTAATTGCCTTTACAGGCCGGCTTTTAGTGCCATTATGTGCAGTAGGTATCACTCAACTTCTGTTACGTTCCTTCTTTGATTTCGTTTTGTTATATAGATTTTCTGACCAACAAACTTCAATGTTGTGCAAGCCCCTCCAACATACGCATTTGTTTACAATGGTACATTGGAATTTCATCGACTTTTCTTTTGTTCCTTGAACTCATTCTCGTTGAGAGACCCTCCTGACAAACTTCTGACAACAACCTCGTACCTTTCAGCGGAGAAAAGTGACCGGGAAGCTGAGATTTTGAGAAGAAATAGACTCAGAGAATGAGTTCTAATGACGGGCGAGCTGGATCCAACGCCCCCCCCCCAGATTGCGCAATAGCAGCACAGTGCCAAACGATACTTGGTGTAGGTATATTTAGTTGGATCACATAAAACATGTTAGTTGACGTTACCGTTCTTATTCTTGTTGCAATACTGTACAACTCTCCTAAGTTGCTTCTTGCAATTATTATGTTCACTTCTATTTGATTTGAATTTGATAGAGAACAACCCTTTGAAACTTTAAGGTACAAGCCCTAAACTCCCAAAGTATAATTGAAAAAAAAAATTGATTTGCACTTGTTTGTTGTGAAGGTTTTATAAGTTAGTGTACCATATTGTATGGTGTACTATATATTTTTTGGGGGGGGGGGTGTTTCATGTATAACCTTCATACATGTATATCAAGAATTTGGAGAAATGATGAGAAAAAAGGAGTAACCGTGTGCATATATAACTGTTATATTATAGCATTCACAGCTGCATCTCAGCAAAAAAGACAATTAATGTGGTTTCAAACCAGGTAAAGTATGAAGACACAAATATTACATATCCAACGACAAGTGTGTATCATTCTGCAGTCCCAGTCTCTTTAACATGGTTAAAGAATCCAGCAAGCTTCTGTATTTAACACTATTAATAGATTCTCGTTATATCTCTGCATAATATCGACTGACCAAGTAAGATGCTTTACTACTACAGGTTAGTGTGTGCAGGGATTTCGATAAATTCTATTGCAGCACATATAAACCAACATCAAAGATAAAAGCCAAGTTATACTAAGTTTCACATCATAGCAGCCTGAGTTCAAATACCAAGTTACAATTCTCTTTTCACATTAGTACATATCTCACAGAATAATATTTTACATCAAAACATCAACATAATAAAATATTCTATGGTGCTTTAGACTTGTGTAGGTAAGCACGAGTTGCGCGGTTTCCAAGCCTCTGTTCTCGCGTTGTTTCGTGGTTTGTGTTCCTCCGATCACTTCCGCCCTGTTTTTCCGTTGGTGTACATCATTTCAGTCACTCGCCACGGGTTGCCGCCAGAAGCCAACTAGAACACAAGAGAACATCTTTAATTTTGTTTCAGTTTATTTATTTTACACTCAGGTCATTTGACCTGTTTTTCAGATACATCCGGGACAATAAGATACACAGATCCATACATACAATCCAGCTTGCAATTGTAGGAAATTACAAGCAAACCATTACATGTGATTAACTCTACAGCAACCAAGGATCACCTAGCCAATGCATTTGACCACTTTTTGGTGGTCCTCAGATAGTTAACTCCATTAACACAAGCATTAAGCTATGTATATATAAGAATTCTGTCTGTGGTGACCACAGGTCCACGTAAACTAGATTTTATCACTTCCCTAACTACCAGTCTTCTTGGGCATGCAGTTTTGACTATTTGTATTATACTGCGAACTCTGTGTCTGGTATCAATTGTACCGGTAAATGACAATGTGTCAAAAGATAAATAAATGTGTCCAAGATGGATAATTCACTACTGATGAAGATCCTAGAAACAGTTAAAACACATGTATTGGTAATTTTTTGTTTGTTTTGGAGCTGTAGCTACATTTCTATGGACAAAAGTCTAACAATTGCTACACCATTTAGGAGTGTAAGTGAAAAACAATATCTCTGAGTTGCTCTCATTTTTAGATGGCAAACAAACTTGTGTGATCTTTTAAACTACTTCTTTATTCAGCAGCATACTCTATACACAGCATGCCCTGCAAGGAATCGACCATTAAGAGTTTCCCCAGACTGTTGGGATTTTAAATAATCCATTTCTTGAAACTTAATCTGGGATAAACTACATCTTTTAGCAGAAAAATGCCACAGGCTTATAAATAGCTCATGTGAATGCTAAATGCGATGGTTTTGTTGAGTGCTGAGTGCCAGTAGGCACATTTTAGCCGCGTTCATTGTAAATTGATGGAGAGGTTGTCTGGCTAAGAATATTGATTATTTTTCATACTGTTCAAAGTATTGCTTAAAGAGGACAGAACTTCTCCAACTCATTTTTCATGCTTTGGAACTTTTGTAACAAAGTAATAGTATACATTGCATAGTCAATCTTATAGCCATGCATAAATAGCAAAAAGCCATGTTATGTGATCATGGTTATAATGAGAAACACAATCTTCTTTGTATGCTTCACTTGGTGCAAGCATATCATCAATGCAGTATCCAAGCCCTTCTGAGTCCTGACTGTTGCCAAATGTTGGTAAAGGTAAAGGTCTTATAGCCTTTGAGGCTGTAGGGGCAGTGGGTTGATGATCCACTGTGTCCAGGGTACGGTATTGGAAGGCGGAGCCCATCCCTCTCCTTCCACCATCTTTTACCTCAACAATGAAAGTCATGTACCCATTTACACCCGGGTTGAGTGAGGAAATCTGTGTAAAATGCATGCCTTTCCCAAGGACACAAGTGACAACGTCTAGCGGGAATCAAACCCGAGACTTTCAAGCTTGTAACTCGCAGCCTATATAGTAAGCCTCTCGGCCATTTGACTCCACAAGTGGTTTATAAAACACTGTGGTTCATAAAACAGCCAACAAGTGCCCAACTTCACCTCACACTACCTCCATATGGACATAAATATCACTTATATGGGCCACTTATCGTAAAAGGGCTACCTATAGAAAGCATTGGCACGTGCTTTGCATGAACCTCAATATATGCACTGTGCATAAAATGCCATTAAGGTAGAACAGTGTCCAGGGAAGCAACTACTAGTATTCCATACTGCAGCTTACCACATACCATATGGTGGTTCAGGTTTGTTTGTTTCGTATAACCGGTAAATCGACTTAAGGTGTAACGCACCTGTTTTTTGCATGAAAGTACAAGCTGCGTAAGACCATACCGGGAAGGTCCCATACTCTTCTTGCTAAGTGTGGTGGGTTCTTTAACGTGTGTGGGGTGTGGCTCTCCCCAAACACGGGACCTCCATTTAACGTCCTATCCAAGGGACATCTCTAACTGAAGCTAGGTACTCATTTTCACCTGATTGAAGTGAGGAAAGTCGTGTAAAGTACCTTTCCTAAGGGCACAAGATCAGTGACATGGGTAGGATTCGAACCCAGGACCTCTTGGTCCTGAGCCAAACACGCTACAGTCATGAGCAATGTAGCTTTTAATTCCTTGTGACAGTCAATGAATAGCTTTGCCCACACGTTTCCAACTCAATTTGTATTTGAAAAGAGACAAAATACTAGAGCTGAAAAACCCAGAGGAGGACGGCCATATAATCCTCATGCACCACCTTGAGTGGTTTTACCCCAAGCACCTTCATACTAAACTTACCAAAGAGATCCCTGTGTATTGTAGCTATAGTTATATACCTTAGAGGTATCCAATGCAGCTTTGGTGCTTTAAGTTAATATTCTAGTCACCTACCTACAAACTATTAGATAATGATGCAAATTTGGGCAATGTCATACAGGTTGTCTTATTCTGAATACTGTACTTCAAATTTTCATGCCCTGAACTGCTTTAGGTGCCATTAAAAATACTGTTACTGTACCATTATATAGTTGATGGCATTCACTAAGCATGTACATCATCATTATAATGATGATATCTGTATTTTGACACATTTTAACTGATCATGGTAAGGCTTTGTGAGATAACAATAATAAGTTAGATTATATCATTTAAATCCATTTCAGCTATCTGGCTACTGAGTTTATCGAAATACCACCCGCATATGCAGGTTAGTACAGGTAAAATTGGAGCTGTGCAGATATTTTTTATGTTTACCTGCACCATGTACTGGTCCATGTACTGGGTATATGCAGGTTAGTACAGGTAAAATTGGAGCTGTGCAGATATTTTTGATGTTTACCTGCACCTAACCTGCACTGGTCCATGTACTGGGTATATGCAGGTTAGTACAGGTAAAATTGGAGCTGTGCAGGTATTTTTGATGTTTACCTGCACCTAATCTGCACTGGTCCATGTACTGGGTATATGCAGGTTAGTGCAGGTAAAGTTGGAGCTGTGCAGGTATTTCTGATGTCTACCTGTACCTAACCTCCACTGGTCCATGTACTGGGTATATAGTGCAGGTTAGTGCAGGTAAAGTTGGAGCTGTGCTGGTATTTTTTAGGTTTACCTGCACTGGTCCATGTACTGGGTATATGAATGTGCTTTTTTTTGTTGTTTAATACCTCTGTAAAATACAAGGCAAGGATTGAAATTGTTTCTCAAGAATAACAGCTTCCAATTTGTATTTCCAATCACATGTATCAACAACAAGAACTAGTATTTTGATCCCTGATACAAGATTGTAGATGATGATGACTGATTGCTGGTACCAATGCTTGCCTGTTGTAGGTCTGATTCAGAAGAAAGTATTTCAATCCCTGATATTAGGTTATGACATGGCCTTTTTTTCTGTCAGCACCCAGCCCTGTGCCTGAGCTGCATGATTTGATGCCTCCGTCATGCTCTAAGGCAACTATTGGCTCCAAATGGGGTGTTAGTGCTGGGTTGGGTACATCAAAGAGGAAGGCATGTCGCAGTCGTTTGTTATACTTATCTGCTTCATTAGGCTGCCTTTCCCCTGCACTTAGAGTGGGCTGACTTACAATTGGTCCACCAATGGGAATCGCTTGCACCAGAGGCATTTTTTCCCTTTTCTGCCACCCACACCCCATTCAGTGTTTAACCGATTCAGAGGGGTGCAACTATGGTGGTGAATGAAATCAAAGTGTTTGAATTGCTTATATTTGATGCCCACATAAGGCAATATTATTTATTTGTTTTATACTGTTGTGAATTTGTGGGTATGTGCACTTGTATAAAAACCAGTTTTTGTACTTGCACGATAAGGTTATGTTTTTGTATAGGTTTAACAAACTTTCAGTCGCTTGCACCAGAGGGCTTTTTTCCCTTTCTGCCACCCACACTCTTTCAGCATTTAACTGATTCAAAGGGGTGCAACTATGGTGGTGAATGAAATCAAAGTGTTTGAATTGCTTATATTTGATGCCCACATAAGGCAGTATTATTTTGTAAATTTGTGGGTATGTGCACTTGTATGAAACCAGTTTTTGTACTTTGCACGATAAGTTTGTTTGTTTTTGTATAGGTTTAGGTTAACAAATACAAACTGTCAGTCGCTTGCACAAGTGGGCTCATTTTTCTTTCCTTTCTGCCACCCACACTCTTTCAGCATTTAACTGATTCAAAGGAATGCCACTATGGTGGTGAAATCAAAGAGTTTGATGCCCATGTAAGGCAGTATTATTTATTAGTTATATATATATACTTGAGCATTTGGTGGGTATGTGCACTTGTATGCACACCCATTTTTGTACTTGCAAGATAAGGTTATGATTTTGTACAGGTTTAGGTTAAGAAATACAAACTATTGGACAGTTTGTAGTCTAATGTTTTGTGTTACAAATTGCAGTTTGGCAGCCCTTTTCTTAATAGATTCTGCCAACACAGCTGAACATCAAAGAAACACAAAAAAAGCTACACCATATTCTTACACAGAATAACTTCATATTCAGGTATTGTAGGTGTCAAAAGCTTTTGAATATATTGTTTTATACACAAATTATCACAATATCTCATTTTCTATGAGGAATCTAGATGTAATTTGTCAAAATCATATCATATGAACCCCAGCTGGTTTCTTAGGAATTCCAAACTCAACCGATGCATGTAATGAACAAAGTAGATATTATTTTTACTTTCCTATCTTTAGGCCACACCAATTTAATTTGTTGGTTCTCGGATTTTTTCAGTAAAAATATGAAGCGACAGGGCGAAAAAAAATAAAAATAAAAACAGATCTAGGCATTCTATTATAGCCCCAAATGCTACGATAGGATCATAGGAGGTATGAAGTCAACACAAAAGGCTGATTCAAAATTTAAACAATGAATTTTGAACTTCTAATGATACCACTGCATTGAAAGATGGAATAACTGTAACGACTAGGAAGAAAAGGACTGTTTTCAACTGTTCAGGGCAAAATATGAGCATTTTGCAGTTGATTCTGAATTTTTTTTTTATTTTCAAATCAGGAAAAAATGAAGAGGCGAATCCGAGAACCAACAAATTAAATTGGTGTGGCCTTAACTGAAAAAAGTGACAGACGTTGAAGCAAATTTAGATAGAGAAATCAATATTTATGTTTTTGATTTGCTTTTGTTATCTGTGATTGCATGTAATAAACATGTCTGCATTAGCTGAAACATTGTTAAATGATGAGGTGCTTGGAAATTGTTGTAGCTTTTATCATGCATGTTTTATGAATTATGAAGACCATTCATTACACTTCTAACGTTAGTGCACTGTTAAGGCCACACCAATTTGATTTGCTGGTTCTTGGATTAGTTAAAAAAATATAGTTGATTGGAAAAACCTAATGAAACCAAAGTCTGTGGACCAGCATTATGCCTTGGTGCACTCAGTTTTACCTCTTAGGCCACACTGACTTAATTTTATGGATGACATCTGCAACTTCACAATACCAGGTTTGTATTCCTGTGATTTAGTAGCATTTTTATTTTTGGTCAGAATTTTTTTATTCGTCCGAGCACACTAGTTTGGGTGTCTTCAGAGGATGTCATCCATAAAATTGAGACGGTGTGGCCTTAGGTGCAGTCACACTCAAGTTTTCCTCCATTCCCTCTGATTTCAAGGTTATTGCTTGCTTGCTATACTCTGAACTGCTATAGTCTAACTGTCTGAACTGACAATGTCTAAAAAAAAGCAAGGAAATAAATTGGTGTGGCCTAGGAAAGTTTCGAGTATTTTTGGAACGATAAAGACAGACAAGGAGAAATAGTGCTAAGAAAGAGGATTGGCAATCGCACTTAGGGACCCTCATTGTGATGTAGTGCCTGCAACTTTAAAGGTACCCAGTTTCCTGACTGCCCCTGGCAATCTCAAAGAATGGATACTTCTGGAAATAAGGCTTGGCAGCTTCAAAGTGCTGCTTTTGCTTGGAGCAGAAGCGCTCGTTTCATCCTGGGACTTCTTTCAATATTGACTTCACAGAAGTCTTTGTCTGTGGTTAAAGACATATCTAGTCATTAGTAAGCTAAGAAGGTGCGTGTGTCGTGTATGGGTGCTGATAAGAACAAGCCGATTATGCTGGGCTCAATGATTGTCTCCCTGCCAGTCATGGTGCACATGTTATATGCCAAACCTTACACAAGCGTTTTTGGAATGGCACAGAAAACACACAGTCTCTGACTGATTGTATGTCGGTATGGCATGTAAAGGAATATGGAGCAGGAATTGTCTTGGCACTCTGAAACAAGGCATAAAGACCTGGATAGAGAAGTCTCTGCGTTTCTGGAATGGCATAGAAAACACACAGTCTCTGACTGATTTTATGTCGAAGAAATATTGAGCAGATAGAGCAAGAATTGTCTTGGCACTTTGAAACAAGTCATTAAGGCCACACCAATTTAATTTGTTGGTTCTCGGATTTTGTCAGAAAAAACATGAAGCGACAGGGCAAAAAAAAATAAAAATAAAAACAGGTTTTGGCATCCTATTATAGCCCCAAATGCTATGATAGGAGCCATGAAGTCAACACAAAAGGTTGTGTTAATATTTAAACAATGAATTTTGAACTTTTAATCAAACCACTGCAATGATAGATGGAAACACTTCAACAGCTAGGGAGAAAAGGACTTTCCACAACTGTTGGGGGCAAAATATGAGCATTTTTGAGTTGATTCAGAACCAGAATCTTTTTTTTTTTGCAAATCAGAAAAAAATGAAGAGGCGAATCCGAGAACCAACAAATTAAATTGGTGTGGCCTAAGGCTGGATAGACAAGTCTCAGCTTGCACTCAACTTAAATAAGCATTTTGCAATGGCATAGAAAACACACAGTCTCTGACTGATTGTACATGTATGTCGGTATGGCATCAGAAGAAATATTGAGCAGATAGAGCAAGAATTGTCTTGGCACTCTGAAACAAGTCATGAAGACCTGGATAGACAAGTCTCAGCTTGCACTCAACTTAAATAAGCATTTTGCAATGGCATAGAAAACACACAGTCTCTGACTGATTGTACATGTATGTCGGTATGGCATCTAAAGGAATATGGAGCAGGAATTGTCTTGGCACTCTGAAACAAGGCATAAAGATCTGGATAGAGAAGTCTCTGCGTTTCTGGAATGGCACAGAAAACACACAGTCTCTGACTGATTTTATGTCGAAGAAATATTGAGCAGATAGAGCAAGAATTGTCTTGGCACTTTGAAACAAGTCATTAAGGCTGGATAGACAAGTCTCAGCTTGCACTCAACTTAAATAAGCATTTTGCAATGGCATAGAAAACACACAGTCTCTGACTGATTGTATGGTATGCCGGTATGGCATCAGAAGATATATTGAACGGTTAAAGAAAGAATTGCCTTGGCACTCTGAAACAAGGCATGAAGACCCGGTTAGACAAGTCTCAGCTTGCACCCAACTTAAATAAGCATTTTGCAATGGCATAGAAAACACACAGTATCTGACTGATTGTATGGTATGCCGGTATGGCATCAGAAGATATATTGAACGGTTAAAGAAAGAATTGCCTTGGCACTCTGAAACAAGGCATGCAGACCCGGTTAGTTTAGTCTCAGCTTTTAACTGAACCTGACTTGACTGGATGCAATCAGCATGGATATTGTGTATATTTTAATTACTTTGTATATGTCTTTGTATATACCTTATTTAGATGTCCATGTATTGCCTCTCAATTTTTTTTAATGTGACAAATGGTACTCAAATCAGGGGGTAGTAGTTATTCTCCCCCTCCTGATGTACATTTGAATTAGTGCCATAAAGAAATTGAATTGTGCTCAACTTTTTTAAGCATTTTGCAATGATACAGAAAACAAAGCCGATATGACATCAAAAAACATTTAATAGTTATCACGTAGCATGTATGTTTTTATATTCTATTTGGCCCTTACCTCTTTCCTCAATGATAAGTATTTATGAGGCTTACAGTATTACATGAAAGAAAGGGTTGACAGAAATTACCTTGGCTCTCTGAAACAAGTCCTGAAGCCCGGGAAACACGAATCTTCTCTGCTTGCGCTCTTGTCTCGAGTTTCTGGAGAAGCGGTCGGCAAGTATCCTGGGCTCGTAGTCTCCAGTGTCGTAGTAGTTGTACCAGAGAGAGGGCTGCTCGCTCAAGGCATCAACCAACTCTTGTATCTGTCTGTCCAGAAGCTCCTGCTGTTGGAGTTGCAGGAGAGAGGAAAAGTGGGAGTTAGAACAGTTTTGACGTTCATTGTTGCCCCCTTTTTTACCGGTCAAAAAAAATTATTTAAAAAAATGAAAGAATCTCACCACTTGGGTCATAAAGCTGATGTCTGGTGAGTTAATTTCGTTTTTGAGTCGGAGAACAGTTTAATTTTCTTCATGTATTTTACCAACTCAGATGAACTTTCATGCTAGTACAAGTTACAAGTCACTCTCTCCCCTGTCCTTGGTGCTAAACACCATCCACACATAAGCAAACACAGCTGTCCCTGGGCTTCTCTGACAGTCACTCTCTCCCCTGTCCTTGGTTCTGAACACCATCCACACACACACACAAACATACCTGTCCCTGGGCTTCTCTGACAGTCACTCTCTCCCCTGTCCTTGGTGCTGAACACCATCCACACACAAGCAAACACACCTGTCCCTGGGCTTCTCTGACAGTCACTCTCTCCCCTGTCCTTGGTACTGAACACCATCCACACATAAGCAAACATACCTGTCCCTGGGCTTCTCTGACAGTCACTCTCTCCCCTGTCCTTGGTGCTGAACACCATCCACACATAGCAAACATACCTGTCCCTGGGCTTCTCTGGCTGTCACTCTCTCCCCTGTCCTTGGTGCTGAACACCATCCACACATAAGCAAACACACCTGTCCCTGGGCTTCTCTGACTGTCACTCTCTCCCCTGTCCTTGGTGCTGAATACCATCCACACATAAGCAAACACGCCTGTCCCTGGGCTTCTCTGACAGGCACTCTCTTCCCTGTCCTTGGTACTGAACACCATCCACACATAAGCAAACACACCTGTCCCTGGGCTTCTCTGACAGTCACTCTCTCCCCTGTCCTTGGTACTGAACACCATCCACACATAAGCAAAGACACCTGTCCCTGGGCTTCTCTGACAGTCACTCTCTCCCCTGTCCTTGGTGCTGAATACCAAATCTATGGCTAATTTATGGCTCACAAACGATGATGATGATGATTAAACTTACAAAACCTTCTCTGACAACAGGTGGTGACAGGAACAGGCAGTACCCAGGGTGCAGCTCTGTCTAGCCGGTGTTCCAAATCCAAGATGGCGGCCGTCAGTGGACAGGATGGAGTTACAAGTTCATCGTTCAAATGAAAACGGGTACTGTATTGTCCTCTGTGTCGATGGCAGCATAAAAATAATATTGTGCTTCATATTGGAATAAAAATTTACCAAAGAATGGTTTGTTTTAAAGGAAAATTACAATAAAAAAATTGCCTTATCTTTATTTAAAACATGAATTTTAAGAATCTTTTCTTTTATGTCTTCTTCTACTTAAAGATAACTTGAAAGTGAGAAGAAGTAAACAGTGTCCTAGGCATAGGTGTTATTAAAGGAAGCCTGACTTAGTGCCTTTAATAAACAGTAGCAATGCCCTGGTATCATAGGTATGGACCT